TCCACCCTATCTGCCAGCTTCCAATGCTTGTTCCGTGGGCTCCGCATCTTCCATTTGGGGGGTGATCAACATTCCGTTCGGCCCCCAAATGACCATGTGTACCTTTTCTCATGTGGTTAACATATCAAATCTGTTTAGTGGGCTTTCCAACCAATGGTCATCCCATGTATCACGGACCTTAACCCTCATTTCTGTAAGCTGAGCCTGGCTAATGACCCAATTGCTCGGTGGCAATTGGCAAGAAGAGGTGACTGTTCAGTTCTTTGTCGGTGGGAAATTGACGCAACACTCGACTTCACTGGTGGGGGTGTCTTTTCTAATGCTATACCCGCAATGTTGTTTTCCTTTTGGTTTCCCTTTAAAACCACCAAAAAGGGGGTACCCAGTGCACAACTCGGATGTAGGAACAAGAGATTGACTTAAGCCAGGCTGCAATTTGCTGTGATGAAAAGTGCTTGCTGAACTCAGCTTAGCTGCAATCGGCGGCTTGGATTGGTGGTTTGGTGGTTGAGGAAGGATTCCCATTTACCCTCTACAAGAACCCCCCAAACCAATCCAACTACCGACCAAGGAGCACCTGAACTGGGCCTTTCAAACAACTACCCTGTTGTTTTTTGCGAAGAGGAGCAGCAGTCACTTGTGCGAAAGGCTCAAAGTCCAACGATCCAAAGAGCGAAGTCCCGCAAAGTGAATGGATCTTTGGAGCAAGTCAAGAATGGAATTCACCTCAACACTGGTGAGGTATCAAGGAACTGCCCTGTTGAGTAACAGGTGCCGGGGAAGGGAAATGCTGTAAGCCAAAAGTCAAACAAAGCTCTCAACAATGGGTTTCTGCATGGCTGAGGGCTTTAAGGGGAGATTGAGGTCTTCTCTGGAGGAAACCCCTCTCACAAAATTAAGTCCTAAGGCCTAGGTCTCCAAGGGCTCAGCCCAAACAATGGCTTCTGTATTTCTGAGTGGTGCGGAGCATCTTACCTGAATCCATTGCACAAGTGTTGCACGGCCACAATCGAAGTGACCACAAGAACGATTTATCAACTTGCAATGAGTTGTAGGAACAAAGGCTCTGGCTGCCAACTGCGAGAGGTTGGCGTTTCCGGGCGTGCCTTTAAGCAGATTATTCGAGTCGGCCGAGAAACAGCAGCATGCCCGCTGCAAAATTACTGTGGGCCAACATCTGCCTTGAGCCGTCTTCGGATTGAGGACATCGCCTTGCCTCCAGTCCTCCCTTAGCGTCTTCAAAGGTGAGCTTTGGGTGACTCATAATCAACACCGAGCGGAATAACATCGTCCAAGCCCAGAACCGTGTTTGAAGAATTTTCCAAATTGGCGGATACCCGCACCCATTTATGGCAAGGGAGTTATCTCTTAACCTTCATCTACCGCAAGTTTTGAGGACGTGGCTCAGAAGTTCGTTGTCGTTTGGAGCCCTGAGTCCCACTCCCCTCTTGCCGAGAAACTCCGATGAGATCCACTACTGCATAGAGCGGCCTCCCAATGGAGCAAAGAGTGGGGATGCACGTTGATCGCAGTTCAGACTTTGAAATATGTAATATCTATACCTGTGTATGCATGTACATGTGTATATATATATATATACAGAACCATCATCAGTCATACACACAAACATTGATTATGTCATTGGTGCTTGCTCCGTTGAATAGACATGCATTTGTGTACATATATATATATATATATATATTATACTGTATAGTCTGTATACTATGTATAGGTGCCCACAACTTGTGACATCTATCTCAGACGCTTACCCCTTGTGTTGACGTCAGCACCTTGCTTGGATTAGTTCTCTCGCTCTCTCTCTCTCTCTCTAAACATATATATATATACATATTTTGTTATACCCAAACTTCTACGGAGTACCATACCCAAACCGGAGTACCTTGCTCATGTGGCAAGCGAGCAAAAAAGCAAAACCAACGTCTGAAGAAACCCGTTTTCCCCAGAAAGGCTATGAGAAGTGAAGACAAAAACCCGTGAAGGTTCAAAGACATGCCATAACGTGTGTGAACCTTGCTCAACATTCAATCCTAAGCCTAGGATCTAAACCATTTAAGTCCAGGGCCAACATGCAAGACGGTCCCAAACGACGACCCAGGAGCCCGAATGTGTCAGCGAGGCTTCTGCAACCGTTTGCAGTCTGGGCGCCGCCCCCAAGCCGACCAAACAAGGCAAACCAGTTCCCACTTGAGTCTATGCTTCTCTTTTGGATACCCTCTTGCTTTTGAAGGGAAGCTAAAAGCTGGGCTGTCCTCACATCCCCTACTAAAAGTCGAACACTTTATTGAGTCATGGAAACCCAACCACTAAACCAACTAAAACAAAAACGACGAAACACCCATGGCACCGGATGCCTGGCTGACCCACCAAGAAAGGACCCCCATTTTGGAGGTCCATGCTGACGCATCGCGCTCCCCGCATTCCCGGCTTCCCCGCGTTCCGCGTTCCGCGTTCCGCCTGGTGGTGGGCAAGGCAAAGCTGGCCTGCGCCACCGGCAGCGCATTCACCGTGACCTCCCAGAGCCGGCGGTTCCCATCGACGTTGGGTTTTGCGACTCTCGGGGCCCGGAAAAGCGTAGTGTTCATAGCTGACCTTTGGGAAAACTGGATGGGGGTTCCCTTTTTAAATGGATGGCGTAAGGCCAATCTAAGCCAGCGAGACCCATCTTTCTTTTCCGGCTGACCCAAAAAGGACACTTATGGCCCTGTGTTGCGCCTCCAAAGACCGGGGGTCGAATGTCCCCAAAAGTTCAGAAGACAACACCCTACCTCATGATTGTTGAGATGATCGGAGGACTCTAATGAACCTAGTTTGGTTGAACCACTTTAATGATTGATGCCTGAGTGGAGCAAAGGGTTGCTCTTCTGCCTCTAGAAATCGGACATGGAGAGCCAAACCCATTCTCACCGCGACTCGGTGAGGGCTTCTCACAAAGAAATGTGCACGCTGTACCTTCCACATTCACGCTCAGGAAAAATCTGAAGCCTGGTTAGTGGAAAACAAATGGACCCCCCCCAAAAAAAAAGAGAGGCAAAACATCAAAAAGGGGAGCTAATTCTCGAAGATCACAGGCATGACATGTTCGGAACCGGCAGAAGGTCGCATGGCTTCACCAGGCAGCGTTAAGCTCAAGGCTCAAGCCCGCTCAAGATCCGCTCAAGGCTCAAGCACGTCTGCTCGGTCTAACTTGTTTCACACTCGCAGTTGGAATATGCTCAGTTGTTCAATGACCCTGGAAAAAAGGGAACCCTTTTTAGTGAAGACCGTTTTTAGTGGGGCAGCCACCAAAAAAAAGGGGAAAAGAATTGGTGCCACTGAACAACTGAGTATGTCGTCGCTGTGCGCATCTGGTATACATGACTCCGTATTGCATCTACAGGCACCTATCCAACTGGGCAAAAGCATGTCAGACAAACACGCATAGACTTGGGAAGCTTCTCAGATGGCTGGTCCAATGTGCTCACGCTCATAAATTTATCTGGGAATCTGCCTGCAAGCATCCCTGTCTATGGAAAGAAGAGCAACCCTTTGCTCCATTCCATGCTGTCTGCTGGGTCTCTGGTGCTGTTCCAAAAATTTGGGTCGCACAAGACTAGGTCCCCCAATAGAGAGGTTAGAATAAGGGTGCCCTTTTTTTCTGTAGTCTATTTTGGCAGGGGATTCCTCCCCCAGAAAGGGTAAAAGGGCACTACTGGGGGACCTAGAAAACTCCTTACATGCAACTTCCGCAGCTAGATACAGCAGCATCGCACCTGCCGCTCTTTTGTTCTTCTGCATCTGGGCATGTCGCCCAGGACGAGGAGTCTGTTCTTTTTTGCCACGGGCCCTGCGAGCCTATCTCTCAAAAGAACCGTTGTATATGTGTGGGGTATTTGAGTGGTTGGGAAGAAAGGCACGGTGAACCTAAGATCAACATCGTGGTGGAAGGGGATCAAAATACTTCAAAATGCGCTGCCCTCTAGGATTCTGAAAGCTGCCATCAGAATCCAACCAACAGCCGAGCTATCTTGGAATGCATGCGAGAAACTTCTCTCCCAACTCGAACTGATTCTCAGCCTTGCGAGGTTCGCAGGGTCCGCGCGGCCTTGGAGAGCCTTTGTCTCACTTGAGCTCTGACACGTTCGGCGATGCGATCGGGCGCCCGGAAATAAGAAAACACGCGATGCGCCAGGCGCTCTGCCAACGGCCGCAATGCCAAGAGACGCATCAAGCAGGTCTTGCTAACCAGAAGCAGGGGCAACTTATTTGGGCTAGTCAGGTTTGGCAAGAACCGCGCTGTAGCAAAAAACAAAAACAATCGCGTGCAGCTAGCAATCAGAAAAGAAAGCAGAGGCTGCAAGGAGTTCGTTTGTCATTGCCGCCACAAGTGGCACTTCATCGGACGACTGTCGATAAACAACATGGTCGTGCTGATCCAAGGTACAGTGTTGTCCACAAATATCAAACATGCATTGCTGCATATGAGGGGGCGGTGCCGAAACATGGATGCAACCTACACCAGTGATGAGTCTTCAATTAATCATCTCTGCCAACATAACTAAGGCGGCTTAGCTGGACCTTACCCATTTTGCCAAGGGAAATACGTGTTTGTTGTGTTTTTCTCCATTTTTTTCCGGGTTCGAAGGCTCTTCTCAACGCAAAGGCCTGTCTTCATGTTGCTTGCCTCTTTCAAGCGTCCCCCGAAGGTTCCCAAGCTACAGAATGTTTTTTAGCTGGTAATATTTAGCTGAGGGCCATGGCGGCAATCCTAGGATTTGTGTCGGCCTATCCATTCTACCTTGGCCCGCGCGACTGTCCTTAAATGGCCATACTTCTAGGGGTTGATTCCAATTTCATTCTTTTCAACCATCGTTCTTTTCAAAAAACAGCCGTTCTCCCCGGGTTTCCGGAGGTGTTCTAGAAAGATCCAGATACCTGGAAGGAATGGAAATGGAATGTACCCCTGGAAAGAAGGATCTTCCTTGGGTGCAGGATTTTGTCCATCCACAGTAGCACCAAAAAAAAGAACCACGCTGTCTCTGTGGCTTTACGTGTGCCGGGCGTCAGGCCGTCAGCACGACGACGCCGCCAGCTTCGCCGCCTCCTCCTCGTTGGCAAAGGCCACCAAGGCCTCGTCCGCGCCCTCGAACTGGGCGAAGGCGCAGCTGTCCTCGAAGCGAATCCCATTTTGGGGCAGGCCACCTACTGGCAAACCAACCCATGGGGCTCTGCATCCCATGCCCAAATGACTGTGGGTCAAAACCGTTTTGGGATCCCATGTTGGTTGGATTGGGTGAACTCACCACCCATTTTAGGCGTCCGATTTTAGTGGGGATTGTGGTAGGGGATTTCGACCCATGGCCATATGGATGCGCATAGCTGTCCTTTTAGGGGAAATAGATGGATATCCCTGGTAGGTAGATGATTAAACCACCAGGTAAACCAGGAATCGCCATCTATTTTTCAGCCAAAACAACCAAAAAGGACACCTATGGTCTGCACAATGCGCTTGCCGAACGGGATCTGTTGACACGGCCTGATTGAGCTTGGCATTATATAAGCTCGGTTGCTTTTTGCTCCGCTAAAAGTTTAACTTGTAGTGGTTTAATGGAAAGCCCATTTGTTGGCCAAAAGTTAAAGTCCTAACATCCAAGCAAAATGCACCAAAGCAAGTGCTTGCAAACCTGTCAAGCCATGGCAACTGCTCAGCAGTTTCTCTATGCTAGTCACTCATTGAGGGAATCCTGGATGTGGAAGGATGCAACATTCTGTCCAGAGGTCACTAAGCCCTCGATGTAAGATGCCTGGCGCAACTAAATCGAGTTGAACTCGATCTCAGGATCATGGTGATTTAGGTTTTTCGAACTCTTCATAACGCAGGACCTTTAAGACACTGCTTCTTCAATAGCGGCTCTAAACAGAATGATCAGCTGTGTGACTGTATACATATGATCGGATGCGCATGCAAGTGACAATATGTGATTTGTTTGCGGCGGCGTTGCCATTTCACACGTACATTACTATGACACAACACACCCGTTCGTGCAACAATGCATACAGTTTGTTCGCGAGGCGCCCCCAAGCATCGCATTCGAATTATGTTTGCCAGATTGAGGCAAACGGCCTCTCCTCTCACTGCAAAAAGTAGAAACTTCAGGTCGGCAAATGTGTCGTGCTCGGGGCCTCTCCGCTATTTAAACAGAACAGACTCCAGTTAAAGGTCCGGAGCAGGATTGTGTGTGAGGGGGGCAAGCCCACCCTAACCATCTCCATGCCCAGTGTGTTTTCGCATTGTCACGGAAAGTGGCACGTAACCCCCGGCTTTCCACCCATCGGTTTGTCTCAAACGGGGCTCCCCTCAAAATGGGGTCCCCTTTCCCATGAAGTGGCGAACTCGCGACGCCGACGTCAGCCATTCAGTCGTGGGGCGCAAGTCCGCACAGGAAGCTGGAAGCCCAAGTGCTCGTGCGCGAGCCTAGGTAAAACGGGCATGGGCTCGTCCTTGGGGCCCAAAGCCCCTTTCCATTTGGCTTCCCTTCAAAAAACCACCAGAATGCATGGGTTCCCCGAAATGCATGGGTTCCCCAGAATGCATGGGTACCCATGGTTCCCCAGAAGCCCCGGAAGCCATGGATTCCCTTTAAACCCCAAAAACCGTGGGTTCCCCGAAAAAGACACCCCCAAATGCCCCAACGTCGATCTGCTTCGGGTTCATTCCCTAATCCCCTGTTGGTTCCAAAAAATGGCAAACAGTAGAACTGGCAACACTACAAACCATGGTACGATTCATCTACGCGGCCTATATATATATATATATGGGTGAATCGTAATATTTCACCAGCCTGCAATAAGGTGGTTGGGAGGCTATTCCCAACATAAAAACCACCATTTGGGGTGAGGTCGTGTGAGGTCGTTATAATTCACTCAGATATATATATATATATATATATGTATCTATATATATACCAAATGTCTGCGTGCCTTCGTGCGCCTTCGTGTGCCTCATGCCGTGTCCTACGTAGCAATTCATGGTACCTCTGGAAGGGATCCTCAGAGCAAAACACCCTCGAGCAGAGAAGAAACCCCAAGCTGGAGTCCAGGAAAAGACATGATCATGTGCCAAGACTCTTTGACTTTCAAAGTCTGCTTGGCTTCGTATCTTGGGCCCAACAGATCCCAACAGGGCCATTTCATTGCTGGGGTTTTGGCGCCGCGGGGTGGAAGATTGCCATTCTCTTGCAAAACATGTGCCTTCTATTTACTAGCACCATTGAGAGTCAGCTCATATTCTGCCATCTGCACACTCCGGGATCATCTCCAAAGTGCCTATTACAGGTTCCTGACCCGCATCTTTTTTGCTTTACCCAAAGGCCTCAGGCGCTGGTTTTGCGAGAAACCGGCTCCCGCAACAGGCCTCTTCCTCGAGCAGCCCTCGCAGACAACGCGGCCGCAGGCGAAGCAGTGATGCCTGAGGAACATGGGCCGTGCTTCCCGCAAAACCACGCAACCAGGGAAAACGCCCACAACGCCAGGGACGAAAACCCACAGATTTGCAAGCGTTCTTCCCGGAACCTGGCTCTGTTGCCCCCAAACCCCGCGCTTTCCAGGCAACAAACCACCTGCTCCCCTCCCCATCCCCCCCAAAAAAGAAAATGCAGGAAGTTGCAACATGGATCCGGGTGTCCCCCCCAAAAGAAGGAAGAATTGCAACATAGAGCCGAAGTCTCCACCATCCATCCCCCCCCCACCCGCCTCGAGAGCATCTTCTGGGGCTCGCTATGCAGGACGTAGGCCCAGCTGAAGTCCGCGTTGCAGCAGGCGCAGAGCTCCCGCGCCTCGAAGGACCTCGGTTTCAGGCCGAAATGTCCGTCCCGAAGCTCCGAAGTGGCGGTGGGTCAAAAATAAAACAAACGCGGCTAGAATTTATCAGCCGCTTTAGAAGAGAAAAGAAAAATACCCTCCCACCTAGGCTAATGTGGAAGTGCACAGACCCCTGTAGAAAGACGACTCTCCTCTTGGATGCCTTTTTGCACTTCTATGTTAGTTGGCGGGAGGGTAAAACCCGTGGCCCCCTGGTATTGCTTTTGACCCATGCCCAAAGTGCGTTCCATTTTTTTGGGGGGCTCCCCTTTAAAGTGGGTCAAAAATAAAACAAACGCGGCTGTACAAAGAATTTATCAGCCGCTTTAGAAGAGAAAAGAAGCTGGGTCAAAAATACCCTCCCACCTAGGCTAACCTGGAAGTGCACAGACCCCTGTAGAAAAACGACTCTCCTCTTGGATGCCTTTTTGCACTTCTATGTTTGTTGGCGGGAGGGTAAAACCCGTGGCCCCCTGGTGTTGTTTGTGACCCATGCCCAAAGTGCGTTCCATTTTTTTTGGGGGCTCCCCTTTAAAGTGGGTCAAAAATAAAACAAACGCGGCTGTACAAAGAATGTATCAGCCGCTTTAGAAGAGAAAAGAAGCAAATCGTAGGACCTTTCCCTCCCACAAGACAGAATCCTCTTCTGGAAAAGGAGGCCCAAGGGGGGGGGCCCTGGTGGTTCTATTTTTGACCCCCAAAGTGCGTTTGGTTTTTTCGGCTCCGCTTTTAAGTTGGACGAATTATTGAGAGGTAGAAACCAAGAATGAAGGCATAGATGATTGAATGGATCTGATGCGCCCAAGGGTTGTGAATGGTGCTCCTCCCTCACATGCTATGTTGGCAGCAGGAAGACTAGTGCCTCCCTGGTGCGCGTAATGGGCATCTGTGATCATTCGCAATGGGAGTTGAGTGATGGGCCTGTGGGAGGATTTGTCTCGAACCGATCCCCACAGAACTTAGTTGCGAAAACGGAAGCGGGCTGGCTCTGCAAAGTAGATTTCAAATCGGTGATTTGACATGTGTTTTGATATAGAAACTGGCAGAAATCCGCGCTGATTGTTCATGGTTGAAATTAACTAAATGTTTAATCCAAACCACCTATAGAATAGGCAAAAACCAGTTCGAAGCTTACAGACCGTACTAGTTTGAGCTACCAAACTACCAAACCTCAGCTTCCCTCCAGTTAGTGGTTTGGATTGGTGGTTTGGTGGTGAAGGGTGGTTTCCCATCTACTCTCTCTCAGAACCAGGGGTTCACATCCAAATCCAAACGAGCAATCCAATTCAGGGTAACCTGAAAACCACCAACTCAGGTTTACCTCAAAAATGAAAGAAGAAAAAGACACGACCGTCATCAAGGCGCTCCCATTCAGGCGCTTTGGGCTCCTGGATGCAGGCCTGGTGCAGCGCACGCGCGTAGGACTGCATCTTGTGGTCCGTCAGCATGTCCTAAACACTTCTCAAAACATGCGGTCCGGTGACGGGATTCACTCCAAGCCTTGGTTGCTGTTGACCCCTCTGCAAAAAGCTTTGCTGCGGGTCCCATGGAAATTCCACTGCTTCAACCGAAAAGCAACAGTCCAACGATCCAACCAACTAACAATAAAGATACCACACCTTTGGGCGTTCACCTTTTTTGGAGGGTACGCTTTTCAAGATTGTACAGGGAACCAAAAGAAAAACCGTTGCCGCCGTTGGAAAACCGATTCCTATTTTGAGAGCTACACCCTAACTTGAACCCCTCTACGAGAGAGTCCCTAGGTTCAGCATAGCGTGAGATCTGTGCACTCCTCTCTCCCACTGGTTGATTAGGGAGGTGTCCCATTAAATTAGGCGAGGCAACCACCCCCATATTCCTCCGACATGTGGCAAAGCCCACGTTGGTTGCCCCTGGGGTCGTGGGCGTTTCCTGCCCGATGGATGGATGTTACAGGCGGGGAACAGGGTTCGTTTTGCCCCTTTTGAGAGAGACCTTAATTCCCTAGCGGGGTGCTTCGCACTTTTTGGGGCGAGGGGAGGCGACATGATTGTCTGGAAAACAAAGTCAAGCAGAGTTCCCTGTAAACAAGTCAAACAAAGTCAAACAAAGTCAAACAAAGTTTAGCAAAGTCGAAACAAAGTCAAAACAAGCTCTCAAGACATCACCCCTTTCAAAAAAAAAAACTCACCTTCGATGGCCCAAAAAAGGTGATGCTTAAAACCCGGAGCTTTGCACATCGATTCCTGGGACCCCCCCATTGGTTCTCACAGGGAATGACCCCGGGGTCCTTGTGGCTTCGGTGATCCCCCAGTTGTATCGAATCGACATCTTCACTGGTATGGTATCAAACAACTTTGTGGTTTGCAGCCTACAAAAAACGAACAGGCAAATAATAACAATGATAATAATAGTAATAGTAATAATAATAAGAATAATAATAATAAAGCACTTGTTCTTCTTCTTTTTGACGAAACAAAAGACAAACGCGATCCAAGACCAGTGCTGACATCCATCTCTCGGGTCCTTGGAGGGCACGATGTGGGTGAGGGCCTCGTGGGTGGCCTCGCAGCGCGCGGCGCGGCCCAGGCCGTTGCGTCGGTAGAGGTGGATCACCTGACCTGGGACGAGGAACCTCGGCTGGCGTCTCGGCGTTTCGGGGGCTTCTGGGCTTCTTCCTCGGGACACTTCCCCATTCTTTCCAGGTACCCCTGTCTACCGCGGAAAGAAGAGCAACCCTTTGCTCCATGCTGTCTGCTGTGTCTCTGGTGCTGTTCCAAAAAACAGGGTCGCACAAGACCATGGGTGGCTTTTTGGAAAAATGGATGGGTTTCCCTGGTAAATGGAAGAAACCCCAGCTAAAGCAGTGCCATCTGTTTTGATCAAGCTAACCTACAAAGGACACCTATGTTTCTGGGCTTCTGGGTGGGTTGCTGGGTTTCGTCTAGGTGACACTTCCCCATTCCTTCCAGGGATCCTTCTTTCCAGATAACCATCATAACCCCAGGGCAAACCGCTGGTTTTTTGAAAATAACAATGGTTGAAAACAATGGGGAATCAACCCCTCGATTTCTGGGTCTCTCTCACTTCCGATTTGAGCGGATTTCGTCCAAAACAAGTACCCAGGAACTCGTTGTCGGGCACTCAAATGGTGAAAACCCCCAAAAGTGACGAACAGTTCAGGATTTCGGGAAGTGAGGGTTTACTTGCTGCAGCGGGTGGGGATTAGGATCTTGGGGGCTCCCATTTATTGTCTTCATTTGAACTGACTGGGTAGGCGGATGTCTCTTTTTGGTGGGAACAGAATCGACTCGCCTTGGTCACCAATTTGTGTGTCATGATTGATGCGCGTAAACACCCCTTAACCCTGTCCAATGCCTGGATTCGGAAAACGACGGAATCCGAACTTGAGATGAGTCCATATGAACGCAGAAGAAAGCTCTTTCAGAAAAGGTCTATGGACAAAACGTGCTGCGAAGAGGCTGATCACGTTTTGCTTGGCAACATTTATGCATGTTCTCGCCGCCCCATCTTCCAATCAGAAGTCATCAAAACGGTCGCGATCGCGGGATTGAACATCATGGATTGGGAGCGGGGGAAAAAACAATCAAACAAACACCAGCAGCCATCAGCAGCCTGCGCGTTTTACATCCTCACGCAAGATGATGCACCAGACCACAAAGAAGAAACACATATTGGGTAGAACCAACCTTTCAGGGGTCACATGAGTCACGGTCAATAAGTCATTGTGTCCCCAACTGACATTCGATTTCGTTGTTAACCCCCCCATTTCCTAGTGGTGGCAGCAGATGACAGTAAATATTGACTCTTGCTCACATGTGTGTCTTTTTGAGAGCCGCCCTCCCCCCCTCCAAACAAAAGAAGTAATAATGTTTGTTTTATCCTTAAAGCCAACCAAAAGGGGGTTCTCCAAAAAAACAAGACAACCTCGCATGCGTTCTTTCCTTACGGGATGGGCAATCCTCAATCTTTCAACCTTTCAACCCTTCATTGCCACAATGGCCACAAACTCCCTCATCCATACTGTGGATGGACGAAATCCTGCACCACCCAAGAATCACTGGAATGATGATTCCGCTGCAATTACCGACCAGCACTGGCTTTGTCATGGTTTCAAAGTGGTGCGAACAGATTTCGTCCATCCACTGTATCCTTCTGGGTCTATGGCGACCCTTCGCCCCGAATCGCCGGGCGGATGCCGAGTCACGGGTTCTGCTCCCGCGGGGGCGGAAGAGGAGGCGGCTCCTCGCGGCCTGCCAGGCGCGGGCGGCCGAGGACTGAGCCATGAAAGGCGAAACGACTGATTGCATAGGTCCATTTGCTGAGAAGTCCCCTGGAAAAAACAAAAATATATCCAGTACAGTAGTGATAGATTCCCCTTACAACCACAAGGGGAAAATAATAAAACAAATATATATATATATATATATTATATTTATATAGATATTAATTTCAGCAAATGGGCCTATAGGCCCACAAATGAAGCGGCCATCTTGGAGGTTTCGGGGGGATGCTGATTTCCCTAAGGCTTAGTTAATTCACCCATCTCCGGGTTCATACCAGGGGCTCATGGACGTCGTTCAGTAGCTGAGGTTGCTTTCTTGAAAATCAACAAAAATCACTGGATTTCCCCAAATCAACAGTTGATGTGACCGGTGGTTTCCATGAACCTTCCACTGGAGTCTCCCTTTGAGACATGGAGCGAACCTGCTCAAACCTAGCGGTTGTCCACTTCGTTTTCCTAGGTGACGAGAGCACCCGCCAGTCCATGGAAGCCACCAAAGGCTCGCTTTAAAAGGCAACTATCGTCTTCTACTCCAAGAGACGTCAGGTTCCATCTTGGACAGGAGAGTGCAAAGTTGACCCAGGATTAATAAACCCATCCCATTATTAGGGGGGTGTTCCGTCCAAAAGTGATGAATTTTAAAACTATAAGGGGACACCCCCCCTATGAATCAACCAGGGGTTTGTTAATCCGGGGTTAACACGATCCGAACCCCCAGGTGCTCATAGGAACGCGGGTAGCCCCGCTTCCTCGGTGCAGGCCGGCGGCCACTTGCTGCGCCGAGTGTGCCACCTGCTGCGAGGCCTCCTGAGGAAAGCGCGCGACAACGCGAAACCGCGACACCCGGGCAGAACCGATTTTGGGGACCCCAAAATTGGGGGGTGGACCTTGACTTGACCCTTTCTGAGTCAAAAAAATATGAGGCGGATGTGGGTAGATTCTTTGTTTTGGGGAAGACCCGCCATGACAGGACATGACAGGACCATGTGCCGGAAAACAAGCATGAACCCAAAAACGTCCCTTTGTGACCCCTAAAAAAGGGGCTTCTTAAGCTTCGCCCGATGTGCATGGCGTTCGGGGCACCTGAAACTTGACCCGCGAAGGTCGGCGCGACCCACCCAAAGTGTCACGTAGGGACTCGTTTGCTTTCTGCTCCCCTAAAAGTGAACAACCTTTAGTGGTTTACTGGAAAACCCATGAGGGTCCTAACATCCAAGCAAAATGCACCAAAAGGGGAATCAACGGTGTTGGAATGCACTAGTGGATCCTCAATGGAGATTGTCCGAAAAAGGTGCAGCTCTTTTTTTTTGTGATCCCCTCGTGCTCTCAGAACCAGCAAGTTGTGCCAAAGTCTTAGAGGGTACCCACTCCACAATTTGTGACGATGCCGACTCATCCGATACATCTATAGGAATAGTCAAAAAATTGCCTCACAAGGCGATAGAAACCAGTGGAAAGGAAAAAAAGAACATGTTCCCATCCGTAGTCATTCACCCAGCCTAGTCTGTGGGCCTTGGGTCATCATGCCTGCGTGTGTGATGCAACTCAGGACCTTAAACAAGCTTTTCACCCACAAAACCAGAGATTGTTCGTCGTACGCTAAGGCCCAAAACGCTCTGGCATTTTGCGATGCGCTGCCAGAAAAACCAAACTATAACTTGTCAAAAAGGGGGCAAACAAAACACCCAGAACAAGCCAGAAAAACCCATCCAAACCGATCCAATCCAAAAACAGGAGGCAAAACACACACACACACACAAACACACACAAAAAAAACATGAGAAACCCAGACCACCCCATCCAAGCCGAACCAAGTCCAACTCCAATTCCCCGCCTGCAAGCGGCCACCCAGCCAACTCATGGCCGCCTGCGCCCGCGCCGCCGGATCAGACGTGGGCGGCTCCGGCGGGGCGGAAGGCGGCGCCTGGCGACAGGACGATGACGCACTTCCGATCGGATGCGGATGGCCCGTGGAAAAAAAAGTGTCCCAAACTTTTGGTGTACCGGAATGGTCCAAGCCCAAGAAGTGACTAAACTTACTAAAGTCCCGTATTTCTTTGGTGTACCACTAGAATGATCCAACCCCAAGTGACTAAAGTCACTCACCCCGGGACTCAGGCAGTGAGCCATGGACCTGAACTTCAACCGCTCAACCGCCCATTGATATTGAGTGGATGGTGGGGAGTCACCGAGTTCTCAAATGAGTGGGAAATCAAAGGTTATCCCTGTGACTCGGGATATTGAGTGCTCTCAAAGGGCAAGGCCTGAGTTGGGCTCTGAGTGCAGGGAAACGTAACTTGCGCGTATACTTAGGAAGCTGCCTTCACAGCAGCCACGTCTTCTCAAGATCAGCATCTTGATGCCCACCACAACTGATGCGCATCGCAGGAAAATAACATCAAAGTCCGCGCCCTTACCCTCCCGACAAGCACTAAAACTTGTAGAGAGACAACCATCTGTAAAATGGAAGCTCACTTGCTGAGTGGATGGCCCAAAAAAAGTACAAACTTTATATTTACCACTAAATTGGTCTTCCCAAAAGTTTAAAGCTCATGAACTCAGGAAGTGAGGAAGATGAGCCGCAGGCGCATTCGGAAGGGCAATGTGCCACCATTGCATACATCAGCTCGTCTCCTTCCTGTCAGCATTTGAGGGCATCCCAGTTACTGCACAGCTTTTGTCTTGTTCGTTTCCACCCAGCTCACTCATTTCAACCATCGAAATGTCAGGCTTGGGTCCATGGGAAATCTCAGAACCCCTGGGCCCGAAATCGAAGCTTGGCCATCTGCCACTTTTTCGGGCTATCTGCAAGTCGTGGTAGATGTTCTCTCTAACACCAGTTGCATAATGCAGCTAGTTTGCTCAGGTGGGCTCGACATTAAATAGGCAGATTCTGTTCCCCTCGCCCGCTGCCCAGTTGCCATAAAGAACAACTTCAGCTCATTGAAACATGAGCATTCACGAAATGTAGCCGGCGTGCTGTGAACTGCCATGCTAGGTGATTATCGGCACTTCCTGCCAATGTGCTCCGCAAGGTATGAAGGGAACAAACGGGGACCGCGAGCGCCAACAAACTGGAAGTGAGTCAGGGAACCATCCGTGAATGCATCGTGTCACGGTTTGCCGTTTCATCCCCTCTTGGGCATGTCTCTTTTTTTGGGGGGACACCTTGTCCTTTTTTGAAGCCACCCTGTAAAAACCACACCCTCAAAAAGCACACCCCCTGATAACATACGGAAAGCCCCTGCCTCGTTGGCGGGGCTTTCCACCTGACAACGCCCGAGTGGTGCGGTGGTTTGAGTGGAACACTCACAACCAGCCCCCAAAGGACGCTGAAGATCATGAAGGGACCGGTGACCGCTAAGATCCTATTGATGCATTGTTATTATGATTCTTATGATGAGTATTAGTATCATGATTATTACGACTATCAGTATGATGTTTATTATCATTATGATGATTGTTGGTATTGTCATTATGCTTATGATGATGACTAGTACTATTTAGTTAGTGCTTGGATGGTGTTTACCTTGTCTTCTTCTCATATTTCTACATCTTGGAAGAGCTACATCTTATGCATCATATTTGTGATCATCCTAAATCTTAGTGTTCTGAAATCATGAATAACTTCTTCTTAATGGGAACAAGATGTGTAGGCTATGCTGTACTGAACAAACAAATGAGTGTATGGGGAGTCACAGAAATTACACATTTACTATCTCCCAGTCCATCTTTAATAGAATGGCTCTGTGGAGAACATGATGTTTACAATCCAACATTGAACAGATTCTTTGTCTTTCACTTTCTATTTCCATTTCTTCTTTGCGGTGGTCTTCTTGTTCATATGGTTAATCTACATGTTCTATCTTCTAGTAGTCCTAACAGGAAACGCCACTAATAACAAAATAGCATTGTGCCCTTTGATTATTAGCAACATTCGCGTCCAGATAACGCACTGGAAGCATCTGGATTACAAGCTCCTTTGCATCTAGTCCTTAAATGGTATTTCCTGTGCCAATATGTTATGTTAAAAGCTGGGTCATATCAAAATGAAGGATCCATTGTCTTGTTTACTTACATCTTCATCTTGTTAATTCATGAGACGTCTCATGCGACGTCTCTCACCTTCATAATAGTTCAAAATTTCAATGGTTCGTATTCATGCTTGTGGTGTCTGAATCTGGTTTTTAGGTGGTCAACTTCCTGTAGACAGCTTGATCTATCTTCTTTCCTGTATCTTAGAAATACATGTTCTTTTATATCTGATCATCGTCTTGGTATTCCTATTTCTTGTTGACCGTGCTTTCATTGTTTTAATTACTGTTAAAATGTGTCATGTTCCTTTTACCTAATGTTTGATTGTTATCCCTCTCATTTACAGTTCTATATGTTATGTTGTGTTTGACGATTTGGAAAGATGTAAACACATAACCGTAGAAGTATACATGAGAATGAATATAGTATCAGACTTCTCTGTTGTCTTGAAGAATGTGGATTGTTTTCTGCGCAGCCACCCACTTAAAATATGTCTTTCAACAAACAAAAACAAAAAAGTCCCGAGGGAAAACTCAGCGAACTGCTTCAACCGCTTCCCCTCCGTATGGGTGTGTCTTGAAAAAGGAGCCCCTAGTAGAGATGGGAGTCTTTTTGTCTTCCCTTTAAAACCACCCCCCCAAACGTTGTAATCAAAAAACGGAACCACGCCCATATGAGTCATAATCAAACCCCCGGCATTAGAACGGTCCACCCAGACCATGCTTCAAGAAAATTCAAAGAGGCGGATATCCGCACCCATTTCTGGCACAGGGGCTTAGCCCTGAACCTTCATGTGCCCGAATCGGTTTTGGAGCCATTCGTGGCTCATTTGGGAAAAAACCGATGGGTTTCCCTGGTAGTGGCATAAACTGCATCTAAACCAGTGGAACCCATCTATTTCTAACCAAACAAACCGATCAAATGGACGCCTATAAATAGAAATGCTCGCCACCTATCTAGGTCCTCCAGTAGAGAGGTTAGAATAAGGCCGCCCTTTTTTCTGCAGTCTATTTTAGACGGGGAACTCTCCCCAAAAGAAGAAACGGTGAGAAAGTTGGCCCTAGCTTGGGACCTAGCCTATCCTCGCCGACTTTTTGGCGAGTTCTGGCGCGAGACGGCGCTCACCTCCTCGGCGGTGGCCCGCAGCATGGCGCTGTTCAGGTCCCCGTTCTCCGCGCGCAGGGCCCGCAGCGCGCGGTCCCGGTCCACCCCCGCCTGAGGCGCTCGCCCCCGTGAGGTGACCCATGTTGATGTTTTGTTAAAGAAAAAAACAGATTGGTTTTAACACACATATCGTGGTTTTCAATGCAAAACAATATGTGAAAAATATGTGTTTGTTTTCAATATGGAAAAACGAATGCTTGCTTTAACAAAAAGATACGGTTTAATTTAGCAAAAATATATGGTTTAATCAAAACCACCCTCCAGTTGCTTTTTTGTTGAAGAAAAATATTGTTTGTTTTAAGAAACATATTGTTTTGTTCAAGAGAAAACAATAGTTGGTTTAACAAACATATCGTTTTTCATCAACGTTCAGTGTCAGGTGGAAGGGAACATCACCCACCCGTTTCTGACTTTGAGAACCCCCAGAAAGAGTCAAACAACTGACCCCGGTGAGGCGGTCCAAGTTGGAGCAGTGGCTTGGTCCAAGATCCATTTCCAGTGCTTTCCCTACAAACCATCCGGTTTCAAAATGGTCCCCGAGGTTGAAATCCGTTTGTTTCCCCTGAATTTGAGCGAAGAGGAACGTCGCGGCACCAACTACTTGTGGTTTGTTCGCGCGGATCAAGCTGTGTCATGGTCCTAACTCCTTGGGCAATGGTCATGGTTCCCAAAAGGAACCCATGAAATGGCGAACATCCCTACCCAAGGCATTTTTGCCCGTGCAACCTTTTTCACTTCTGCGCGGGCCGGCGCCTCCATCAGTTGCAGCAGCTTCATCTCCTCCTCGCCCTGAAGCGCGAGCCGATGGCGAGCAACACACCGGCAAGGCTCCGGGCAAAGGCAACCGCGGCATGGTTTTTTTTTGCACACAAAGCTGTCTCGTGCACGAATGAGCCGGGGTCTTGAGGCAATGGTCTGAAGCCTAAAGAAAAAAGCAAAGCTGCCCCAGAACCGGGGTCGGGGAAAAAAGGTTGAGCGGGACTGGTTCTCTTTTTGTTTTGTGCTTAAAGACTATGGGAAATGCGCCGCCGACCATTCGGTACATTCGGACCTATTTATGTCTGGAAGGTGGTCATCCCCGTATTCCCTCCTAAACTGTGGCGGGTGTTCGGGCTCTCAAAAAAGTCTGCAGGGTGTCGAGCACCCCATGGGCGGGCATGCCATTTTCACTGGCTGAGCCAGGCGGTCCGGGGTCCATGGGCCTAGAAATGCGGTCAATATCCTGAGGTTTGGTGCCCCTTACTCCCCCTCCAACTAACATAGCACCAGACATGGGGTCCCTTGAAGAGGAAAACAATCTTCCAGGTACCCTCCCAGAGGTTCCATGTTGGTGGAAGGGAGGGTAAGTTTCTCCCCTTAAGTTTCAAGGTCCTCCAGCAGAGAAGTTAGAACAAGGGTACCTGTTTTTCTTCTGTAGTCTATTTTAGTAGGGGAACCCTGCCAACCAAAAAAGGGGGCCAGTCAGTAGTGTTTCACTGTCAAAACCAGTCAGTCGGTAGTAGTTTCTGGGAAAACTGTTTCCTCAAAAAAGGGGGTAAAGAGCGGGCACCTAGCTGGGGGACCAGGGTTTCTTTCCTCGCAACAAGTTGGGAAATCGCCCTCAGAAACTGCACACTTCCAGCCTCGGGAGCGGGCGCGCCCTCCTGGCGAAGGGACAGCGAGCGCGCAAAAATCTTCCAAGTGGCACATGGGTGGCTCGTCTTTTCTTGGGCGGGACCCGCAACATGGCTTTGGCTTTCCTTTTGGCGTCCCTTAAACAAAACCACCCAAAAAGTTGGTAGCTTCAAAAAAGACACACCCACATCTTCCAAGATGGCGTGCTGAAGCACGGCCAGTTCTCTTTCTCCTTTTCGCAGGCCATGCCTTTCAAACAAACATGCTGATACTGTGGATGGGCGAAATCCATTTCACACCACCTTCCCCTGTAAATACCAACAAACAATGGTTTGTCATGGTTTATGAGGTGGTGCAGGATTTCGCCCATCCACAGTAGCATCATGGATCATCACAACCCACCTGTGATACCAAGGTGGACCATCCCGATGACTAGTACTACTACTACTACGACTATTACTACTACTGCTGCTGCTACTGCTACTGCTACTGCTACTACTACTACTACTACTACTACTACTACTACTACTACTACTACTACTACTACTACTACTACTACTACTACTATTGTACCACTTGGAAGTGACAAATAGTTGGCATCTCAGACAGTGGCCGGCCATAGAATCTGATTTCCCACATTCATGGGCAACCCTCAACATGGGCGATTCCCCTTTTGGACTGAGGGATCTCCCATTTGGATTTGTCTCAACAAGGGCTAAAATGGTTGGTTTCCTTTTGGCATCCGTTAAAGCGACCCCAAAATGGGTAATTACCCCTCCCCATTTCAGACGAATCCACCACGTGAGTGCGTCCAAATAGGCAAACCCGAAAAAGAAAGCGGCTTCCCCCCTGAGCCAGAAAAAAACGAGCCCTCAAAAAGAACCGACCTGCCTCTTGAGCAACCAACAAATAACCCCATTTCCGCCTTTTACTGGGTGTTTGTTTTTCCCCCCGAAGGCATACCAAAAAAAAAAAACACGAGGCCCCCAACACGGGGGGGAGCCAACCCCCGAACTATCTCAGCGAGTAACTCGGAAGCCACAGCCTGCGCGGGTCGGCGTCTCAGCTCCACGATGCGCTCCAAGTCCTGCGCTTCGATTCAGCGACTTCCGACTTCTGACGCGAACGACTTCGCGCGGCGGCGGCGAGGCGACGAGTCGGCGACGACGCAGACATGGCCTCGTGACTTTAGCAAAGTCACCCCGGTGTTCAGTGGTGGGTTAAAGGGAAATCGCTACGTTATTTGAGGAGCCGATGAAGGAGTTATATCATGGATATCCGTTTTTTGAGGCGATCGTCATGTTTTTACCATGATCAAAGTCACGCCCGTTCAGTGGTGGGTCAAAGGGAAACAATCGATTCCATTTTCTGAGTTTGATAACTTCCAGAAACAGTCAGGATAATGACCCCAGAAATAGGGTTGGCCCATATCCATCTTTTGAGGGAGCGATTGAGGGCTATGTTTTGTCCACCTACCTATTGATGGATGTCCTTTTTCTTGAGGGGGGCAACAAAGGTTGCTCCATATTCGACTGATCCTACGTTCCTAACCCTCTACACACCCTGAACCTCTTACTTTGTTTTCAATCGACAGGAGACAGCCCAAACCCATGGTCTGTCTTTTTTGGAGGAAACTCATTTTTTTGGGGGCCCCCTTAAACAAGACTCACCCATATCCATATCCCTCAGGGGGCGATTAAGGGCCATGTTTGGTCTAGATCCCAAATGGGCGTTCACAGAAACTGGCTATTAACCGGTCCTTAAAAGGGTGTTTTGACGCTAGCACATATGAGTCTGCCTTAGAATAGGGGCAAAATGGTCCGCTTTGAACCAAGCCAAAAGCGGAGCCGTCAAAAAACACGCACGCAAGTGGCGGAAGGGAAACCAACAGGGAAACCCCGAAGGAAACTAATTCCTCTTGAGAGTAGTCCTTTTTGGGGTTGGTTTAAAAGGAAACAAAAAAATAGAGGTACCCAAACTGGGTGACCGAACTCGTAAAGAGGGTCTCTATATGGCGAATCTTATTTTTCGCAAGAGAGGTCAATGTGGGTTTGCGAGTGTTTTTCTATGATGGGAAGCAAGCGACTTTAAGGCTGCTAATCTTGGCTCATCTGCTTTTCTCGCAGTTTGGTTCAGAGTATGTCTATTTCCGGAAGTTTCAGCTCTGCATTCCTATTGCTTGATTCCAATACATGACTAGCATATGACAAGCCTGGTGTTTGATCTCTTCGGCTTCTGAGTTGTGAATACCATTTGTCAGACTACAAGTATCGAACAGTCTTGCACATGTTTTTGAAGAGTGGCAAAAGCACCAGCTCGGGACACTGCCCGAGAAGGGGGGTACTCACCATACACCACCCACAAAAGCTACCATCCTGATCCATTTCACTGAAATGTGCCATACATTTCGTTACGCGGCAGGACATGTTCTGCCTACAAGTGCCCCGCTGCCAACTGCAATTAAAGGCAACGGGTCTCTGTCACCACACCTGCGAAAAGTGGGTACACTGGGTCTCGGGTGTGAATAGAAGGAAATGTGGCTGTGGCTCAAAAAATGGTACCAACATGACCCTCGGTACATGGAAACAAAGACTAACACCTGCGTTGTCCTGGCTCTTTAATTTTGAGCCACACCGCATGCATCGGTAATTTCTTTGCAAAATCCGATGCCCGGAGATCGCTTTTGCGTGCGAGATCCACAGTAGAATGGCACAATCTGAACCAAAACACCGAGGACTCTCCCCCAAAAGGTGTTGGACATGGCCAAATCATGTCCCTCAGGACTTTGATTTTGCTTGGCGTTCCTCGAGGTGGAAGGTCTTTGAGCATGCCCCAATATACCCCGACACCTTGTCTCGTTTTTCCTGCAAGATTTGTTTGGCTTAGTAAATGGGATGTGCGTTGGCAGTTGTTCAAATGCCTCACTACATTACCTCATGCCTAGTAAAACACTGAATCGCGCGTGGAAATCCACAGAACGTCCACTCAGGGAATTGTTTTCTGCTTCCTCAATGGGAGTTTTCCATAAGCAACATGTTTCGAAGTAAACCAAAAGGAAACTGTGGCAACTCCAAACATCTGTCTGAAGGATACTGCCAGCACTTGGCCGACTCGAATGGAGGTCCTTGATGGCTTGCCAGTCTTCTTGCATCCAGGCCTGTCTGCTTGCAACAGTCTGCAACCCTCATGATAAGACCAAATAATAATCTTAGAACGCCCCCACCCCCCCGACGAAAATGATCCTTCATATGGAATCATGGGTGTCTTTCGTTTCTTGCCCCCTTCAAGCCAGACTCTTGCCAGTCCGCCCCCTCACGTCAGGTCCCTGCAGTGGATAATTGTGCACGTATGAAGGCGGATTTGTGACTCTAGGCCTTGTTGCTGACCTGTTTTCAAGAAGTTGCATGTTGAGGACACAGTCAACTCCTGTTGCTTTCTTCTTTTACCGAAAAGCATGTGCTCTTCTGAACACCCTCTCGAAATGGCTGCAACTCATTCACTCGTTAACTGCCCCCCCTTTTGCGGCTGGCAAGAAATGTCTGTTTCAGGGTACCGGGGCTGGTGTTTTAAGCACATCAGTTGTTAAATCGCCTCTCTATTGGGGCGAGAGGCTCGTTTCTAGAAACCAAGGGTGAATCCACAGATTCGCCACGTGTGCACATCCAAACCGCTTTCAACGGCAAAAGTTTGCAATTTGCCGGTGGGCTACATGAAGTTCGCCTGCCACTTGGCCCCTTTTGTGGCCGAAGCTCTACGGGACACTTCTCCAGAAAACCGTCAGAACCTCAGGGGAAACAACTCCGTTTCTTGAAAAGAATGATGGTTGAAAAGAACGGAATTGGAATCAACCTCTAGATTTCTGGGTCTCTCTCACTTCCGATTTGAGTGGATTTCGTCCAAGAAATGTACCCGGGAACTTCTTGTCGGTTCTCCGAAGTTTCTTGGTAACTCTAAAAGGCTAAAAAGCTGAACCGGATGGCCTTCAGGAGCCAAGAAATGGAATCGGAATCGGAATCAAGCCCTCGAGAAGTTGCTAAGCTACGCTCCGGCCTTCGTCTTGGCCACTTGCCCGGGGCAGAGCACCGACTGCATGAGCTCCTGCACCGACTTCAGGCTCAGCCGGGGGATCAAGTCGTCCCGGTTCACCACCTCTCAGGTTTTGGAACACCAGAACCGGGTGGCGTTTTTTGGAACACCAGCCAGGTGTTTTTTGTTTTCCCCGCTGTGGTTTTACAGGAAATTCCCCCTTTTCGTGGGTATATGGCCCATGTCCTCTAGAAATTCCGGCTGGCTTCTCCCCTCCCAAATGCTCTAAAAATGTGCAACGCAAACATGTTCAAACATGTGCAACGCAGCAAGAATTCCATGCCTTCTCTGGTGCCTACGGACCAGATGTACCTTGTTGAGTCAGGAGACAGGTGGATTTTGTTTCATGTTCTCGAGTCCTCAACTTGGAGTCATGGGGTAATTGTGGCTGCGAAGCCTCACACACACACACATGGGTGGCGTGCTTTTTTTTGTGGACCCGCCCGCCCATGGTAGTTTTCCTTCTTGCTTCCCTTTGAAAACCCACCCAAAAAGGGGTACCCAAAAAAGACCCACCCTCGTCACAAGGGGCTGCGCAAATCTGTGGAAGCTCAGTGAGCTTCGAAGTCCCCTATTGCCCTTCACGGGGTGTGTCAAAATGGCGACACCACTGGGCTTCCCTATGTCCGACCCCAAACAGGCCTCTCAAAAAGCCCATAGGCCGGCCGTTGCACTTGGCTGTGGCTCAAAACAACGGAATGCCAAAATTGGTTGGGTAAGTGGACACATGGGCCAAAACCTGCGGTTGGCCCCTGTTTAACTTTGAGCCACACGCACTTACGTCAAAAAACAATCCATAGGCCCAGGGTGGTTGAACCGTTGCACTGGTAACTTACGCCGAGGTGCTGAGATCATGCACCCCAAAAAGCTAGGCAGCAAGTCCTCATCCACGCAGGCCGGCGTTCCGAAGCCATAGCAATCTCAGCGACAGGTCCGAGGTTCGAAGCTAAGAGCTCAACCACGACTCGGGTGTGTGTCGCTTTTTCCTCGTTTTTTTGAGGGGCCCTGTATTTTTTGGTGGCGACAAAAGAAAAACCGAAGCCTTTTTGGGGGGGGGGGGGGGGTTCAGGGGCCCCGTTTTTTTTGGGTGACGAAGGAACACCGACTCCTTTTTGGGGGAGGGGGTCCCCGAAAGAAGACCCATTCTTCCCCTGTCTGGTGCTAATCGCCTTTTCTTTTGCAGATGGGGCCCGGGGACTTCAAAGCGGCTGTCCTTTCGGCTTTCCTGGAGAAACGACCAAAGGGGTGTGCCCTCAAAGACGAGGTCCTCCAAATTTGAGAGGATAGAATACGGATACCCACTTCTTCCTGTACCTCCCCAAAAAAAGGGCAAAACGGCACGACTGGGGGACCTAGAAGACATACCCATATGAAGAATCCGGTTGAAGCTGCTTCCGCTCTACGACTCGAGACTGCCCCCCGTGCTGGGCTCTTGACGTCATAAAAAACCAAACGCCCCCAGCGAGAGCTGCTACACGTGTTGGCTGTCCCTGTGTTTGCTCAAAGAGGGTAGTAAGCAGAACATAGCCAACCCCGGCTCCCCTTGACCTCGCCTTGGCAGCAAATTGCGGTATCTTCTTGGCAGCTGCTCTCATCTTATCCCTCGCGCTACCCCTTAATCACTCTTCAATGGTCACATGAAAGACGCACTTCCACAGCCAACTAAGCGCGTCAAAAGTTACACCGGTTGAATTTGAGGTGCTGTGGCTCTGGAATGAATCGAGCAACGAAGGATAATACAGATTGCAAGGCTCCTAACTTCGTCAGATCCGAGGTGTTACTCTACATCTAAGATGCGGAAGCACGTGCGGAGGTCTAAGCCCTTGCTCATGTTCTCAAAGGTCAAGTTGCGGCAAGTAATGGTAGTTCCCGGTCCAAGCCCTTGCTCATGTTCTCAAAGGTCAAGTTGCGGCAAGTAATGGTAGTTCCCAGCACTGCATGGCTATCGTGCTGTAAATGAGTGTGAACAACAGTCATGGGGCCCGGGGGGCGAGAGATTGGGGAAGGAAACCCACATAAGCACCAAGCAAGGCTTCACTAAGGGCTTGATAAGGGCTTGATAAGGGCTTGATAAGGGCTTGATAAGGGCTTGATAAGGGCTTGATAAGGGCTACTTCCCCGTTCCCTTCCTCCCTGCCAGGCATGAAACAGCTTGACTGCCTCCAGTCTCTGCCGAAAAAATGTTCGTCTGACTGGCCCAAATGAGCCGACTCTTGTGTGAAAAGCGGTCCTATGAACTTGCTTTCGCGGACCCTTTCGCGATGCTTTCGCGACCCCATGTTTTGCTTTCGCGGACTTTGTTTTCTTTGGAATTGCTTTCGCGACGCTTTCGCGGCGGACTGTCACACAGCATGCAGGCTTTCGCGGGTCTTTCGCGGCGGGACCTTCTTTGGTTACTTCCGCGATAAGCTTTCGCCAGCTTTCGCGGCCTGCGTTTTGGCTTTCGCGGGGATTCTATAGGACACCCCTCTTTACGACTTTGTATTGTCAGGGTTTATGGCGCTGCTCAAATGGGTGTGGGTCAAAATTAAACCACTAGAGGACCGCAGGTTTTAGTCCATGTTTCCATCTACTAAGGGTCCATGTTGGGTACCTATTTTTGACCCACGGCCAAATGCCAAGGCGCAAAGGTTCGGCATCTGCGGGCGGAGCATGAGCGTCAGAAAGGCCCCCACGCCCGCACCCAGAGAGTGGCCCAAGATGGTCACCCGGTAGCCTCGCGGTGCGCAAAGCGCCACTCCCAGATGAACTCAGATGCCCCTTGGGTCCCAGTCCAACATCCCCCATTTGCAAAGGGGCCTGGTTAAACACTGAGTGTGTGTGTGTGTGGCTGCATGTGGCGTGTGTAAGCATCTATGTGATTAATTATGTGCCAGCAACATGTCCAAGCATAACCATGAGAGAAGTGCAAGCAAAAACAAACGATCTGTTCAACATCTTCAGCAGGGGGGCCGAACAAAACGGAAGTCCATTGAGTAGAGCTTTTTGTGATGTATCGGCCCAATACACTGCCAGCCAACGCGGAGCCTCCGCGGGTGTGTGAAACCACGGACAGGCGCCTACGCGAACCTACGCCGCAGCAAGCGCCTGCGCGGAGTGCCTACGCGGACCTTTCGCGGGCGCCACTCTGAAGCTTAAGGCAAGACATACCTGCGCAGGATTTTCTTGAACAGCCTACAGGGACTCCGTACGTCATCGTTTTCCCACCAGACTTGCCTATGCGGTGCCTGCGCGGCATAAAGTTGCTCCCAGATGCTAAGCGAACACACAGCCAAAAAACTTTGCCCAATTGGGATCTCTGAATCGTCAGTCAACACCCAGCTCTGGTTCTGCTAGCATCGCTGACAGCATGATCTGAATGGCCGGTTTGTCCCGGACCGTGAACCTGATGCATAGTACCCAAATACTGTGCGCGCAAAAACCTGTGATTCGTGTCAAAAAACATGTGATTCATGTCATTTTCAAGGACCAGCTTGAAGCCAAATCCCAGCTATTGTTCCTTGGCTCCATGCGAACAAATTCTGCACCCAGGTCCTGCGGCCTGCGTTGTGCAGGTCCAGCAGCACCGGGCCCACCTCCTCTGCCATCCACCGCGCGGACCTCGAGAGGAGTCAAAACCTCGAGCAAAAGTGGCATTGGCACCCATCCTCTTCTTAGTCAAGTGGTTGCGGAAGAGCAAGTGGTTCATTCCAAAAAGGCAAACAAACAAGAAAGAGGATGAAACTCATGCTTGATTGGAGCTATGGGAGGGAATCTTGAGCTTCCGGGGGAACGCAGCTTGCTGAGGGGGGCCTCCCTCAGTTCCATGGGTCCCAAGTAGACTCTACGGGCTTCATATTTACCGCCCTCCTGCGAAACCTGGGTGAGACGTCGCATGAGCGAAGACGTGAGCACTTGTGGCCTGAGCTCTAAGACTTTCGACGATTTTAGAGGTAACCTAGGTCCAGATTTGAGAGGTTAGAATAATAAGGGTGCCCGATTTTTTTCTGTAGTCTATTTTAGTAGGGGAACCCTCCCCCAAAAAGACACGGTAAAAGTTGGCACCAACTGCTGGGGGGCAATTAATAACTGAGCCTCTGGGGCTTAGCTCCCGGGATGTCCATCAGACCAGCCTAGCGCCAGCCTACCCTGGGCCTTGCAAGCCCTGATTTTCCGCGCCCCAGACAGGTCCCATGGAAAGCTGGCGCCAGCGACTTGCAAGTGGCCGACTTCCCTCCACAATCCCCTACATTTTTTCCTTGAAACATCAAACGATGATGCTTAAAAGTACCCTCCCACCGGTTTATTACACCGAAAACCGGACTTTCATTGCACCCCGGGTCCCCTTGAAACGGATCCGAAACGGCTTCCACCACCACGCCAAAACATCGAACGCTTCCAGGTGCGAATTGCCGGGAGGCTACGGAAACCCCAGACCCCCAGCGCCCCCTGGGTTTTTCGGGGGAAAAGAAGTCGGCGGCTCAAAATTCAAGAGCTAAACAATTACGGCGGTTTTGGTCTTTGGTTCCGTTTAGGTGCCATGTTGGGCTACCACTTATTTGAGCCACAGCCAAGTGGGCCTCGTCTTCAGCCTCGACTCGAACCCCCCTGAATCCGAGCTGCTGCACGATGCCCTTGTGGCCCTGGCCCTCGCCGAACCTGCGGCGAGAGAGGCGTGGGGGTAGGAGCCATCAGATCACTGGAGCTGATCCGTGTAAGACCCCATGAAACAAGCGTAACTTTTGGTGGGTTAAATGAACACCCAACCACTGCACCAACTAGAAGGCTAAAAAAAACATGAAGAAACCCTTGATCTTAAAGGGTCCCACCCCCCCCCCCTCCCCCCGCACCCCCCCCATTCCCACCCACCCACCCCTCTTTGTCTCCCCCCAACAAAAGAAGTTCAACGCCGGGCACCGGAGGTCCTCCCACAGGTTGCTTCCGAGGCACGGCTCCTCCGTGGCGTTGGAGTCCGTGGCGATGTCCGCGACGTTCCGCGTGCCGGGCATCACCAGGTACCTCCGGCCGAGCGAAAAAGAACGCCGAGTCCCGGTGGCGAGGCCCGGTGGTGAGCTGGGCTTTTAGGTGTTTGCAGGGAAAACATGGGGTGGGGAGCGCATTCACCGGCAAAAAACCGGGGAAAAGAGGGAAAACATGCGGTCGGGCGTGCATTCACCGGCAAAAACCCAGGGGGGGAAAAGGGACAAAATCAAACATGGGGAAGGAAAACACCGGTTGTTTTGCTTTTAAGGAGATTCTCTGTTCAAATATGGCTATTGAACTTGTAGCCGTCAACATGCCAGCCGGATGTTCACAGGTCCTGTAAAGTGTGTTCCGCTTGCGGGTCGCACTGACGCTTACCACACCGTCTCCCGAAAAACCTCCCTGTTTGATGGAAGCGATTTGGCCATGGGGCATAACCAATGGCTCCATTTTGGGGTGGATGAACATCCATTTGCCACCTGTTTTGATGTTGATCAGGGGTACAGGGTTTTGACCCACAGCCATTCCGCACGCAAACAGCTGGAGAAGGTCCATCCTTTCCCGGAAGCATGACTGCTCGTGCATTCCTGTCCTGCAACTTCCGCTATGCTTGTGTGTCCACAGGACTGCTCTAGCATCTTCAAAGGTTTTGCATCCCAAAGGCATGTGCCATGGATGGATTCTGAAAGAATGAAGGAGCATCGGTACGGTCTCCTGCAGAATCGAAGGGGAGTCTACGGGAATGCGAGCGTCGTTTCGAAGAGTCCTCCACCTTCTTACGCCATGTGGTCATGTGCATCAAATGGCCTCCAATGTAAGTTTCTCTCTTGCCGCAACCTTTGAGATACCTGAATGTAATCCGGAATTCTTCCGTAAGTCGTATACCATAGATTTCCCCCATGGATTTACGAACTGGCAATAATCAGACTGCATGCCACACACGAAGCGATCAGTCGGCCAACTAGTCAACTGCATAGGTGGTATTTTGGAAAAATAGATGGCCCTGGTAAATGGAAGAAACCCCACCTAAACCAGGGCCCTCGATTTTTTAAGCAAACCAACCAAAAAGGACACCTATGGTCAACTGGAGTCTGCCTCAAAATAGAATTGGCCCCTTTTGGGGAGCGTAGCTATACATGATCCACTACATTCGCTGCTCGCCTCTTCCCTCCCAGCTTCTTGATCCGAGGTGCGCGGCCTTTGCACCTCTGGCACAGACCTGAGGTAGAGGCAGCTCTGCCGAGGATGTGAATATAAACTGGACCTCATTAAAACAAACAAAAATCGTTCGCCCAGTGGAAATGGTCCGACCTACCCCCCCCCCAATGCAATACTCACCCACTAGCAGAACCTACACATGTCCTCGTCTGGGGGACCCATCTTTGCGCCATCAGGCAATCTGAATGGATGCTGAGAAAACATGGCCACAAAAGACCATTTCGATCTTGTGTTTGGCCATCCCGAGTCTGGGTTTTCCAGTTTGGGGCAGGCTGATGCGTCCAAGAGATGTGGCTTCTGCACAGCTCACCTGTAAAAGAGTTTCCTTCCCTTGGCCCACTTGTCCAGTGGGTCTTCTGGACCCCCAAAATGTCTTCGGTTTCCCGGTGGTTTCCCTCCAAAAACCAACCAAAAGGGTATCAGCTCCAAAAAAGGCGAGCCACCCTCCAAAAGGGCTGTGTTACTCGGGGGGTAAGCAGGGACGGTTCCGGCCCTACTTGGGTGCTCGGCCAAGCTAAGTTGTTGCTAGGCCAGGAAATAGCCCACTTCAGTCATCCTATCACTTGTCTTGTTGAAAGGGGGGGAAAAACCTCCTAAGTGGGAACTCGTCTTGCTAGAAGGGGGTGGAAAACCCAGGTGGGTAACTACTCACCAACTTAACAAAAAAAATCGATGTCCTGAAGGGCTGCCTTCTAAAAGAAACCCAAAAAGCAAAAACATCTCAAAGACATACCCGTGTGGAAACCGCCAGGCTGTGGCTGAAACCATGTCCTCTTAGCTTCCCTTTGATCCTTCTGCGCAAGTGCACATCTTCAAGATACGCTTTCACTTTTTAACATCACGGTACACCTTCCAACCCAGGGCTTCGAATTTTCCCCACGGAAATCAACCCCTGGGTTTGATTCTCCAGTCCAAGTGGTTAGACGTCTCTCCAGACCTCCAGGTCCACTTTTTATTCTCAGGTAGACTCAGTAAGCGCTCGAAGAACATCTGGGCTTGAGTCTCGCCCTCCAGGCCCAAACTTTCTTGGCGTCGGTTTCAGAGTCCCAAATTCTGGAGACCACTCCAGACCTGGTGACAAAGTCTGGGCGTCACATCCAGGTGAACAAGTTTTAACCTTGGTTGCTGTTGACCCCCCTGCAAAAAGTTTAACTTTTTGGGGGTTTAGTGGAAAACCCAACTTGATTTCTCAAAAAGTTGAAGTCCAAAGATCCGTTACCCAATAGCAGTCCAGTAACCGCTCGAACCTCAACCGGGTTTGAACCCTCGTGAAAACTTTCTGGGCGTCCTGGCCAGGAAGAAGCTGGGAATGGTGGAGCTATTGGACAGCTCCGCCAGCACCAGCTCCGCCCCGGGCATCGCCTGCCGCAGCAGCCGCTGGGCGTCCGTGGCCGAGTCCTCCTGGCGACCGTCGCCGGAGTTCGGGCTTCGCCAAAGAGGTGCTCCATATTTTCGATGGAGAAAAAACAGAACAGGGAACGCGTGAGCCCATGGGTGACAGAACAGCGAGGAAAGTCACAGCAGCTGGTGTGTTTTCCTTCCGAGCACCAGGGATCACTGCTCAATTTACGCGTGGTTTTTTCCTGGAGGTTCCCGTTCAAAGGTCCAAAGGTTTGCCTACAGGCAAACTTCCTGGCCCCAAAAAAGTCTGAACTGTTTGTTTACCACCATGGTTTGCCGTATCAACTCCATGAACTCCGGCGAGATTTTAGGAGCTGACCCTCGAAACGGATACAAGCAAACTAAGGTGAGGGATTGAGAACATCGTTCACCAGGTTCACTTTTCTGGAACCTGGAACCTCTCTTTCGCGGCCCGGGTGACTTCTGAAAGCGTCTCAAGATGAAGGAAACTCGGCGCAACTGGCGAAACTCCCTCGCACGTCCCGAGTGGCCCCAAAGAAAACGCGCCACGAAAGTCCAGAACACGGAACTCGGGAGGTGCGAAGAGTGAGGAACCCTTGCTGTAGATCCCCCAGCAAAAGTTTTTAACTTTTTGCTCCCGCATCTTCATGTTCGGCAACATGGCCGGACTATGTCGGACCATGACAAAGGACCCATGACAAAGGAAATATGAGGGGAATCCAAAAAGTCAAAGTCTAAAGATGCAACCCAACAGCGTAGAGAAACCCTGGGCGACAGGCTCGGGCCTTGGAGACGAGGAGTAGGCGCACCAAATGCCGCAGCGTCAGCAGCAGCGCCCGGTCCACTTCCGGCACCTTCCGCCGAGAAATTTGCGTCCAGTGGTCGGAGTGCAAGTGTAAACATGTATCATGGGTTTTGTGAATTTACACCCGTGTATATGTATATGTATATACATATATGAAAACAAGGTGTGTATATCTATGTATATATATATATATATACATGTGTATGAGTGCCAAGGTAAGCACTGATAAGCCTTGCAACCTGCGCAAACCTCAAGGGTTGTGGAGCCTGCTTCAAATTGCTTCCTTGAGCTAAATCTAAGGAGGAGCAGCGTTCGGTCTCCCCGACAAACAAATGGACAAAATACATCTGTCCGCTTTTTTTTCTTTTTCTTCTGGTAGCTTCCCCAAACGAAAAATCCACAAAGATCGGTGAGGTACGGCCTGCCACCCTCACTCATTCTCTGACTGCCTGGCCGCCCTGTGAATGCTGCGCCGTCTCCATCTGCGGGGCGCGGCCTGTCCAGCCAACTAGAGCCCTTCTCACTCATTCCACTTCGTGATCCTCCATTTGCTGAGAAGCCCCCTGGGGAAAATAAAAATGATTCCAGTAGTGATAGATTCCCTTTAAAACCAAAAGGGGAAAATAACACATGTTCCTAAGCAAATGGAAGTGACATGAGCTCTCGTGCTCGCACGAAGCAAATCTGATGCGCCTCGCTCACCCCAGTGCTCGGCCATGCTGTAGTAAAGGCCCCCAAAGAAGTCGGGGGAGGTCAGGCGGTGGTAGGCAGGCATCCTGTCGGCCCCATTTGCTCTTGAAGACCACCAAACGGAAATCAAACATGTGGGGCGCCTCAAGTTTTGACAGTTACAAAGCCAGGTGGGCTGTGCGCGAACGCTTTGCCTCCATTTGCTTAAGTCCCCTGGGAAAAATAAAAATGATTCCAGTAGTGATAGATTCCCTTTAAAACCAACAGGGGAAAATAACAAATATTCTTAACCAAATGGAAGTTTGCAGGCCCCCAAGGCAAAAGCCAGCTGGATTCCCGATGTCGCGCTCCAGATTTCGAAAGGCTGCCTCAAGGGAAGGCAAGCACTTCCCCAAAATGGGGTTGACCTACCCCGCAAATGGCCTTAGTTATGCTGCGCTTGACTGTTGGGGATGTGTTTGAGGTGCAACAGTGTGCCACGTTGTGCGAGCTTGGTCGGCTTGGTCACCCGCAAGCCCCCTCCCGCAGCAAGTGCAATACCAAATACCAGCCAGCAAAATGAGTGAAAATCCCACGGGCAAAGCAAGTGGTGGTTGCTGACACTTTGCCGGAAGGTGGGTTGGAGGTGCAGACTGTGTATTGCATATGCACGTACATGTCATGTACATATGCATATACACCTTCGTATATGTAGACATAATCTCTCTATATACATATGTAATGTACGTTTTGACATGTATATTCTGTGTACATGTAGACCGCCTCCCTGTCTTGATGTGGGGAGCATACACCCAAACACCAAAACCTGTTTCCCCTTGAAACCGCCAGGGCGCTCCAGTTTCTTGGCGAGGCCAAAGATCAACTGAAAGGACTCCAGGATCTCGTTCCCCGCGAAGATGAGTGGGCCATACCTCGCGGAACCGGGTTGGGAAACCCACCAGACGCTGTCGCTCGGTTTCTGACAGTGCTCTCAGGATGAGGCCAGTGTTCAGATCGGCACCCTGGACCCGAACCCTGGACCAATCATGATCATCACAATATGACTAAACGTTGGGTAAAGAAAGGTCTCCGTTTTTTTTTTCTTTTTTTTTTTCGGGCTTCACTGGGAGTTGAAGTGACGGCCACAGCTGGGTTGATGTGCCCGGCAGTTTCCTATGCAGCAAAAATAGCTGACGCAAAGTGAGGCATTCCCTTTTTTTGGAGGGGGGTTTACAAAAACCCAATGCATGTGAGGTATTCTTTCATTTTTTACAATAAGACCCCAATGCATTTGGACTCCGCCAAAAAAAAAGAAGAGAAATCGCCAAAGCGGGCACCTCACCACGTAGTACCCGGCGCGGATGGCCTGCGCCGCCTGGCCCCAGGGCAAGAAGCCCGAGACTTTGTTGAGGCCTGGCCAGCGTCCAGGAAGCGGTTTGGCGCCCAGTGCAGCGGTTGGGCGGCCCGGACGTTTTGGTGGGGGGTTTTCGTGCGGAAAGTAAGGCAAAACGGGTGGAAACTGTCCATGTGAAACTAAAAGGATGAAGAAATGGCCATGGAGCCATGTGAGGCATGTATACTTGATCTAAGTGTGCCATCCAAGCCAGTTGGCATGAGCTCTTGGCCACTGGGCCACGGTAAGCATGGGCCGCACGTGGACTCCCTACCCCATGAAACCCCATGCTACTGTGGGATGATGTGTCAGACACCCAGAGCTCGAGATCCGTTGTGCCCGAACCGGACTTCTTATGGCAACTTGGGACTGGTGTGACATGGGTCTCAGCCCGTCTACAATAGATGATGGCAAGGAACAACACGGCTGAGATCACATGTCTTTCTTTAAGATCAACTGGTTTCTGTTCCATGGGGTCCATAATTTCCTGCCAATTGTACACATCGTGGTTGGCCAAATGGCGACCCCGCTGGGGACCCATACCCGTAAGCAACTCTCGTGTCTTGCATTAAGCGGATGCACTTGATTGATTCCAAACAGTCAGATTGCAGACGGCATGTGGCTGTTGTATTGCCGGTCGACTGCTGTTGTCCCATCTTGCACTGAACTCTAATGAATGCATACCGGATATGCCCCGCAATTAAAAGCCTGGAGCACAAAATGGAAACATACCGACAAATTCCACAACCGCATCACATAGGCATCCACCACCAACCCCACCCACCCACCCACCCACCCACCCACCCACCCACCCAGCCACCCGCCCGCCCGCCCGCCCGCTCGCCCCCGCCCGCCCGCCGCCGCCCGCCCACCCGCCCGCCCGCCGCCCGCCCCCGGCCCACCCCCCTCCCGGCTGCCCGCGCCGCCGACCGCCCACCCCCGCCCACCCACCCACCACCCACCCACCACCCACCCACCACCCACCACCCACCCACCACCCACCACCCACCAGAACAGCAACAGCAAGAGTAAAAGCAAGGGCAAGAGCAAGAGCAACAGCAACAGCAATGCCTTTGGGGCCCTTTGTTTTGGCACGTTGTCTTCCAGCCAAGCGGGCTGGCTACTTGGAAAAACAGTCGGGTTGGCGGCTCCCATTGTCCCAAAAGCGGATTCTGCGCGCAATTTGGATGGTTTGAATTAGAAAACACCAGCATGGACCCAGATAGCAAGAATGTGTTGTTGCCAACAAACTAAAGATACCCATTCCAAAAACGTGCCAGGCCGCCCGGAAGAGCGGCCAAAAGAATTCTCACAACAGAGTGCTCCCGCAATTCGCTTGCAGCCTGCATAGGCAGCATTGCAACTGGCCGCAGTTTTGGCGGATTTGCTTGACGCACCGCCTCTCAGAGCCGATGTTTTGATAGATTTGCACAAAATATGCCGGGCAAAGCGGCCAAAACAATTCTCGCAATCAATGCTCCCTGCAGCCTGCGCAACTCTGAGTCTCGGCCTGCAGCACCCTCAACAGCACCCTGCAGCACCCTGCAGCACCCTGCCGCACCCTGCAGCACCCTGCAACCGCACCTGGCAGAAACTTTGAGTCTCACCCCTTCTTTGCTTGAAGTCAGAACCCTTGTAGCTTTCAGCTATCCGAGAGAAAAAAAACGCGATAAAAACGATCGCACCCCTCCCGGCGCGCCGGTCATCACATGGCCACTGAGCCGCACTGTCGTCTCTAGTTTGCTCCTCGCGCACTCACAGGAAGAATCCGAATCAGAGACCCTCTGGTGTCGTTTTTAGAAGGGCCAAACATAACACCAACCTGTGCCTGGGGGCGGGGGGGGGGAATTGCGCCTTGTGATGCTGTCTAGACTCCTCATGCTGACTCAAGCTGCATCTCTTTGCTAAAAAGGCCGAGGCTATCTCTCAGATGGGGGGGAATAAAAGCGGACTCAAACGACCCTTTGGCGCGAGTGTTTTTCCTTAGGAACTTACATGAAACCAAACTGTCCTGAGCTTTGATACCCGCAATATGGGAAAAACTGACCCGCAAAAACCACCCGGCGCAAAAAGGAGCTCAGACAGTGAGTAGTATTTAAACAGAAAGGAAAAACAAAACAAAACAAACAACAGTCTCAGCGCAATGCAACAGACCAGCAACATCTAAAAAGCAAAGACAAAAACACATTCCGACATATTCATGGCGTTGTCACTAGGGAGTTCAAACCAACTAGACTCTAATCATCCACTTTGGTTGGGGGAACAACCCATGTACAGAAGTCCGGTGGCGTGCATTGAGTCATTGCTTGCCACAATGTGGCCCCAAACATGTAAACACTTGGAGCAGAATTCGAGAAGCACGTGTCACAACACGCCAACAACTACCATGCATACTGACAACCCAACATGTTCAAAACCACCCCGGGTGCCCGGCTGTGTGCCATTTCTGAGGTGGACCGAAGAGGTTTTGAAGCGAGTCGCTTCATGTTCAAAGTCCAGACCCCAACCATTGAAACAGAAGCCTGGAAGAAGGTACAAGCAAGCAAAACAACCAACCAATCAACCAACACCAAACCAAACCACACCAAACCAAACCAAACCAAACCAAACCAACAAACAAACAAACAAACAAACAAATCAGCAAGCTCGAAAGCAACAAAACAACCAATCAAGCAAGCAAACAAACAAGCAAGCTGGAAAGCAAAAAACAACCAATCAAGCAAGATAGCAAGCAAGCAAGCAAGCAAGCAAGCAAACATGTACGCAAGCAAGCAAACATGTACGCAAGCAAACAAACAAACGAGCAAACAAACAAACAAACAAACAAACAAACAAACAAACAAACAAACAAACAAACACACCAAACAAACCAAACAAACAAACCAACTAAGCAAGCAAGCACGCAAAAACAAACAAGCAAACAAAAAGCAAACAAACCAAACAAAAGGGCAATGTGGAAGCACAGCCGCATGAGGGTGTGTTTTTTTCAAATCCCAGCTGCTCTGGGTCGTAGGCGAAGGGCTCCAGGCGACCAGCGAGGTAGGCCTGGGACGTTCTGTGCCTTTGCCATAATCAGCTGGTGTGGTTCTCACAATTCAAGACCAGGTTGCCGACTTTTCCATTTACCAGTGCAATCCTTTTGGCCCCACTTTTGAGCCGCAGTCTTGCAGCTTTGGGCGTCGCCTTCACAACCCGTGGGTAGTTTTCTTTGTGA